CCCCTCCCCCGTCACCATAGCACCCCCCCCAAAAAAAGGGAAGCCAGTTGGCACACAGAGTCAGGATATTGGGTTTATTCTGGTCCTGCAGAAACAGGGGCTGGGGGATAAATGGCAAATCCAGCCCCACGAGCTCCAACCCCAGCGGTTTATACACAGACAATAACCAAGAGATCAGACACGACTGGTGATGGGATTTTACATCACATCAGCCTTTGCACAGATGCTTCCAGCAACTGCCAAATTCACTGTACTATGACCTAATTCATTATATCAAGTTGGTCCTACATTTGCTTTTAAAGTCTGCTCCTAAAAGTGTTGCTTTTAGTATTAAAATCACCACGGGTCACGTCAGGGACACCTCAGTGTCTTGATCTTTGTCCCTTCCTGACTCTGGTTTATGTAAAGACACCAGAATGAGGCACTAGCTACAAAGGCTGGTAGAATTTTACTGTCTTTTGACACAGCTCTTAGTTCTTGGGTCTTGTTTCTGATTATTTCAACCTTCATTTCATCCTTTAGCCTTAAGGCCCTTCCGTTCTTGTTATTCTGGTTTCAGCCCAGTTTGTTCTAGAATCATTAAGGCTGGAAAAGACCTCTAAGGTCATCAAGTCCAACCATCAACCCAACACTCCCATGACCACTTAACCATGACCCCAGGTGCCACGTCCACACGTTTTTTGAAGCCCTCCAGGGCTGGGGACTCCAGCACCTCCCTGGGCAGCCTCGGCCAAGGCCTCACTACGCTGCCAGGAGAGAAATTCTTCCTAATATCCAATCTAAACCTCCCCTGGGGCAACTTCAGCTCATGCCCTCTCATCCTATCCCTGGTTCCTTGGGAGAAGAGCCCAACCCCCACCTCACTCCAACCTCTTCACAAGGAGTTGCAGAGAGCAGTAAGGTCTCCCTCAGTCTCCTCTTTTCCAGGCTAAACAATGTGCTCATTCAGCCTAAAAGTTTTTAACTCTACTCTTCCGACATCATCACCCTCCTCAGAGAAGCCTCCTGCCCTGGGAAGCCCCCAGCTCTACCCTCACCGTCTGAAAATGGTGCTCTGAGGAGCCTTCTGGAACCCTCTCTTCCATCAGTGGCCAGGGGCTGTTTGTCTACAGCCACCAAAGCTCGTGGCTAATGCACTAAAGTGCACAGGAACACTAAACATGGCTGCTGCTGGCCCCAAAATAAGAGAGATCCAACCCATTTAAGAAGTACAGTCCCATCCTTCCAGCTTTTTAGAAAACTAAAAGCACAGAACAGCACCAGGCTGATTTGACAGGTCTTTCTGAGCCATTTCTGAAGTCTTACCGTCAGTAATCCTGGAAACAAAAGCAAAGCACTTTACATTTGCTTCAGCTGAAGAGAAAGGTCAAAAAAGACACCTAAGGTAGCTCTGGGTGTTTTATTTTGCTTTTCTTAGCATTCCAGTTTGGTTCAGGGAAAAAAAGCTCAGAGCTCATACATTTATTTCTGAACAATTTTACAAGAATATCCAAGATCCCCAAACAGCTCCACTTAACTCAAATAAGTCTCTCCAGCAGCTGGCACTATATAATTTCCCTGACCATTTGGCTTGTCACAAAGGCCACCTGGAAACCTGGTGTTAACACGGCCACTTTTGATAATTAAGAACCTTGGGAGCAGGTTTTCAAATCACAAAATGGAGACTTACAGGAAAAAAATCAATTCAAAATTTTGTTAGCAAAAGCTGAATTACTAAAACCCAGGAAACATCAATCACTACAAACTGGCCTCAGTCTTATTGATGGGATCTTAATTGCATCAATTAAGACAAAGCTTCTCCATTACTTCTTATTTTTAATAAACACAGGACACTCGTGCCATTTTTCTTTCCGATTATACAGCTTTTTAGGCAAATCCTGCTGCAGCTTTTTGTTTGGATTCCCTGCTTTCCAGACCAAACATGTCCTCACGTGGCACTTCCACATCTCCTGGCCCTGCGACACCACCAAGGCCCTTCCCAGCACCTCAGAGAAGGGGAACAGAAGTGAAAGAAGGAAGTCTGTGCAGCAAATCAGTTAGAAAACCCAAACTTCAGCTTTCTGGCCCCAGCGCCACCCCTGAGCTCTCTGCTTAGAACCAGAGGTTGGACCTTTCAGATCATCAAGTCCAACTGTTAACCCAGCACTGCCAGGGCATCACTAATCATAGAAACAGAGAATGTTTGGAAGGGACCCCCAAAGGTCATCCAGTCCACCCCTCTGCAGAGAGCAGGGACATCTCCAACCAGGTCAAGCTGCTCAGAGCCCCATCCAGTCTGACCATGAATGTTCCCAGGGCTGGGGCCTCCACCACCTGTCTGGGCAACCTATTCCAGTGATCTGTCACCCTCATATTAAAGAACTTTTTCCTAACATCTAACATAAATCTCCTCCTTTCTAGCTTAAACCCACTACCCCTCGTGCTGTCACTCCAGACCCTTGTGAACAGTCCCTCCTCTGCTTTCCTGTAGGCTCCTCTCAGGTACTGGGAGGTTGTTATAAGGTCCCCCAGAGCCTCCTCTTCTCCAGGCTGAACACCCCAACTCCCTCAGCCTGTCCTCACAGCAGAGCTGCTCCAGCCCTCTGACCATTTCTGTGGCTTTCCTCTGGACATACCCCAACAGGTCCACATCCTTCTTGTGCTGGCAGCTCCAGAGCTGGACACAGGACTCCAGGTGAGGTCTTGATTCAATTGGCCTTCTGGGCTGCCACTGGGGGCTCATGTCCAGCTCATGTCCACCACAAACCCATGTCCCTCAGCACCACATCTCCATGGCCTGGAAACCCCTTCAGGGATGGGGACTCCACCACTTGCCCAGGGAACAGGCCTGGACAACTCTGGAACAGAAGAAACTGTTCCTCAGGTCCAACCTCAACCTCCCCTGGGGCAACTTGAGGCCGTTTCATCTTGTCCTGTCCCTTGTTCCTTGGGAGCAGAGCCCAACCCCCCCCGGCTCCAGGCTCCTGTCAGGAGCTGTGCAGAGCCAGAAGGTCTCCCCTGAGCCTCCTTTGCTCCAGGCTCAGCACCCCCAGCTCCCTCAGCTGCTCCTCCCCACACTTGGCCTCTAGACCCTTCCCCAGCAGCTTCATTGCCCTTCTCTGGCCACGCTCCAGCCCCTCAAGGTCCTTCTGGGAGTGAGGGGCCCAAAACTGAACCCAGGATTTGAGGGGTGGTTTCCCCAGTGCAGGGTAACAATCCCTGCCCTGCTCCTGCTACACTAGTGCTGATTCAGGCTGGGATGAGCTTGTTCAGTCTTGAGATGCTCAATATTTCAAGTGCTGTGTAACTGTACAGACCACAAATGAACATTTTCTCTCTCTCTTCCTTATGAAGCACTCCCCGAGGGCTCCTGTGGGCAGAACCCTCCCTGCCCGTCCATCCTGACATCCCCTTGCTTTGGGAAACATTTGAGAGAGCTCCCTCTCTAATCAGTACTTCAAACACCTCTCAGAGCAAAGGATGAACCCGCAGAAAAACGGCACCCGAGCTCCAGCCCACCAACCACCCCCCAAAACCACCCCCAGGAAGATCCAACGAGTACATTTACCCGCTCCACGTCACCCCCCCCAACGTCCCCGCCTCATTCCCAGCCTCCCTTTGCACCGGGGA